TAGGCATTCCTTACTGTGGTAGGCTGGCTCAGAATGATGGAGTTACTCATGCATTAGAAAACCCTGGGGGATCACCTAAGAACTGTCTTCAGCTGCAAGGCTGGTTTTCTGTAAAATGATGGAGTTTCTTTGAAACCCTCCCACCTACCCTTTTAGTCTTATTCTCCCTTCAAAAACCCTTTCCTCCCTCTCTCTCTCTGTTCTGAAGGCCATCCTGGTGAAGTCTTGTTCTCAGCTCGTTCTCATTTAATTCTTACTAAGGTAATGGGGATTCCCTATAGAGAAAGAAGCCTCTTACAGAGGTCAGAGTGCTAGACTTGGAGTCAGGAAAACCTGTGCTCAGTCTCACCTTTGATACCTACTGTATACCTGTAGGTAACTCACGTTACCTTTTTTCCCACATGGCTACCAACCCTTCATATGTAACCACTTAGAACTTGAAATGATTCATGGAATAGGAAATTCTCGGGGTTTCAGTAATGAAAGAAGAAATGCCAACCAGCAACAACAGCCCTCTTCTCTCTGTGACCAACCAGAAGGAATCTTGGACCCAAGGGAAAGGAAGAGACAAGTAAAAGGCTGTTCAGACCCCTCATGTCACAGAGACTTAGATCTCTGATGGTGGAATTGTGGGCAACGGATAAGAAGTAGAAAAGATACTTAGGGTAAGACGCTCAGCCTGCTTCCCCTAGAAGCTTACCGTGTTGTAGCTTCCCACCTTGTTAAGGTCGGCCCTGAAAGAAATTATTTTATGATGTGATCCTTTCAGTCTTTGGACAACCAGATGCTCTTTACCTTCCTTATACTGTCTATCTTGTGTGTTCTGATTCTATCTTATACATATATATATATGTGTGTGTGTGTGTGTATACGCACGTGTGATATATGTATATATATAAATATACATATAATATATATGATTCATCCATATCTCCCCCATTAAAATACAAGCTCCTTAATGGCAGGGCCTATTTTCAATTTTTCTTTGTGTCCTCAGTACTTTGCATAGTTCCCTGAAAATAATAATCATTTAATAAATGCTTATTTATGGGGCAGCTAGGTGGTGCCGTAGATAGAGCTCTGGCCTTGGAGTCAGGAGGACCTGAGTTCAAATGTGGCCTCAGACACTTGAAACTTACTAGCTGTGTGACCCTGGGCAAGTCACTTAACCCCAATTGCCTCACCAAAAATAATAAAATAAAATAAAATAAATGCTTATTTATTAAAACATGGGTCTGGGAGCCAAGATGGCAGAGTAAAGGCAGGGGCTCACTGAGCTCTCCCAAATTCTCCTCCAAACAACTTTAAAATAATACCTCAAAATGAATTGTGGAGTTGTAGAACCAATAAAAGGACCAGGTGAAACAATTTTCCAGTTCAAGTCAACTTAGAAGGTCAGCAGGAAAGGTCTGTCTCACTGGGGTGAGAATGGAGCACAGTCTTGAGCAGCTTTTTCCTGCATCTGCCCTGGGGGTGACTGAATCAGCAAAAGTGACTTCTAGAACTCTAGGCTCACAGACAGTAAGGGGGTTGGACAACTAGTCAGAAGGAGATTACAAGGGACCCTTCGCTGGCACCGGAGGCAGGACTCTGTTGCACTGCTTATACATGGTTCTGGGTCATAGTCCCAGGGCAAGGAGGAGCACTATCACTCTAGAGTATGCAGCTTCAGCAGAATGGGATCCTGGTAATAGTTCCAGAGTGAGAAAGAATACTTGTGATCATTCACAGACTAGAGCTCATAAACCAGGAGAGCAGTGACCACATCTCTCCTTAGATAATACTGCCTTGGAAGAACCGAAAACTAACAGACCCCCCCCCCAAACTAGCTCTGAAAACAGCAGCACCAAAAACCTGAAGCTTGGGACAGTGTCCCTGCCACTTTAGGAGTCGAGGCCAACTTTAACATAAAGTTAAAAGTCAAGAAATAAGCTGGAAAATGAGCAAACAACAACAACAAAAAGAACCTGACTATAGAAAGTTGCTATTGTGACAGGGAAGATCAAAACACAAACCCAAAGAAGACAGCAAAGTCAAAACTGCCATATCTAAAGCCTCAAAGAAAAATGTGAATTGGTCTCAGGCTATGGAAGAGTTCATAAAAGATTTTTAAAATGAAGTAAGAGAGGTAGATGAAAAATTGGAAGAGAAATGAGAGTGATGCAAGAAAATCGTGAAAAAAGAATTAACAGCTTGGTAAAGGAGACAGAAAAAAATACTGAAGAAAATAACATCTTAAAAAAAACAGAATAGGCCAAATGGAAAAGGAGATAAAAACTCACTAAAGAAAATAATTCCTTAAAAATTAGAATTGAGTAAGTGGAAGCTAATGACTCCATGAGGCATCAGGAAACAATAAAACAAAAGCAAAAGAATGAAAAAAGTAGAAGAAAATGTGAAATATCTCATTGGAAAAACAACTGACCTAGAAAATAGATCAAGGAAAGATAATTTAAGAATTATTAAGAATAAAGAGTCTAGACATCATATTTTAATAAATTATCAAAGAAAACTGCCCTGATATCCTAGAACCAAAGGGTAGAATAGAAATTGAAAGAATCCACCAATCCCAAAATGAAAACTCCCTGGAATATCATAGCCAAATTCTAGCACTCCCAGGTCAAGTAGAAAATATTGCAAGCAGCCAGAAAGAAACAATTCAAGTGTGGTGGAGCCACAGTCAGGATCAAAGATTTAGCATCTTCCACATTAAAGGAGTGGAGGGCTTGGAATATGATAGTCCAGATGGCAAAGGAGTTGGGATTACCACCAAGAATCACCTACCCAGAAAAACTGAATATAATTCTTTAGGGGGGAAATGGATATTTAATGAAATAGAGAAATTTCAAGCATTCCTTATGGAAAGACCAGAGCTGAATGGAAAATCTGACTTTCAAAATACAAGACTCAAAAGAAGCATAAAAAGGTAAACATTAGAGAGAAATCATAAGGGATTCAATAAGGTTAAACTTTTTACATCCCTGCTCAGGAAGATGATACTTATACCTCCTAAGAACTTTATCATTTCTGGGGCAGTTAAAAGGAGTATAAATAGACAGAGAGCACAGGTGTGAGTTGACAATGATGGGATGATATAAAAAAAGTAAAATCAAGGGGTGAGAAAGAGAGATGGACTGGGAGAAAAGGGGAAGGGAGAGGTAGAATGGGATAAATTATCTCACATAAAAGAGGCACCAAAAGAGCTTTTTACAGTGGAAGGGAAGATGGGGAAAGAAGGGGATGCAACTGAACCTTGCTCTTATCAGAATTGGCTATAGAAGGAATAACATACATACTCACTTGGGTATAGAATCTGCCTTGTCTTATGGGGAAGTAGGAGGGGAAGAGGATAAGAGAAAGGGGGGTAATAGAAGGGAGGGCAGATTAGGGGAGGCAGTGGTCAGAAGCAAACACTTTTAAGGAGGGACAGGGTGAAAGGAGAGAGAAAGAGAAGGACAAACAGGAGACAAATGGGTTGGAGGGAAATACACAGTAATCATAACTGTGATAAAAAAAATTTCACAGCAAGTTTCTCTGATAAAGGCCTAAATTCTCAAATACACAGAGAACTGAGTCAAATTTATAAGAATATGAGTCATTCCCCAATTGATAAATGATCCAAAGACATGATCAAGTGGTCAAAGGTATGGATAAATGGTCAAAAGAAGTTTTCAGACAAAGGAATCAAAGCTATCTATAGTCATATGAAAAAAATGCGCTAAATCACTATTGATTAGAGAAATGCAAATTAAAAAAACTCTGAGGTACCATCTCACACCTATCAGATTGGATAATATGACTAAAAAGGAAAATGACAATGTTGAAGGGGATGTGGGAAAATTGGGATGCTAATGCACCGTTGGTGGAGTTGTAACTTGATTCAGTCATTCTGGAGAGCAATTTAGAACTTTGCCCAAAGGGCTATAAAATTGTGCATACCCTTTGACCCAGCAATACCACCTCTAGGGCTGTATCCTAAAGAGATTTTAAAAAACAAAGGAAAAGGACTTATACGTACAAAAATATTTATAGCAGCTTTTTCTGTGGTAGCAAAGAATTGGAAATTGAGGGGATGCCCATCAATTGGGGAATGTCTGAACAAGTTGCAGGATATGGTTGTAATGAAATACTATTGTGTTATAAGAAATGATGAACAGGATGGTTTCAGAAAAACCTGGAAAGACTAATATGAACTGATGCAAAGTGAAGTGAGCAGAACCAAGAGACTATTGTACAACCATGAATGACTTAGCTATTCTCAGCAATACAATGATCCAAGACAATTCTGAAGGACTCGTGATGAAAAATGCTATCCACCTCCAGAGAAAGAACTGATAAAGTCTGAAGGCAGATTGAAGCATACTTTTTTCACTTTTAAAATTTTTCTTGCTTTTTTTTTGTCTATGTTTTCTTTTACAACATTACTAAAATGGAAATATGTTTTGCATTACTACACATGTATAACCCATATCAAATTGCTTGCCTTCTTAAGGAGGAGGGAAGAGAGGCAATAGAATTTAACTCAGAATTTTTAAAAAATTAATGTTAAAATTGTTTTTACATTTAATTGGAAAGAATAAAATATTTAAAATAAAGAAGAAGAAAAAAAAAAGAAACATGGGTCTGCCTCCCACATGCTAAATTTCACTCTTTGATAGTTTTCCAGAATAGTCCCAGAATGCTCACCTCTATAGCTGTAAGGGGCAATTTGGCCCAATCAGATGGCCTCAAAATCAAAGTCACACACACACACACACACACACACACACACACTCACACTCACACTCACATTCACACAAAGCCACATCATTCTCCAGGCTGACAACTGACAAGGTTATAGACCAGTTGGTAGAACATGAATCGGTCCTTCTCCAGGGCATATTGCCTTGGCAACAGACATCAGTTTACCGAAAGAAGACATCTCCGCTCCTTCCTTGAAATACTCTTTCTGACCTTTGGGATTCATTTCTTAGAAACCATTTCTTTCTTCTTTTTCCTAGAAGAACCTCATCTGACCTCAAGCTTGAGAAACCAGACTTTTTCTTCTCCACATTATCAACAAGTCAATCATGGCTGTGCTGAATTTCGTAACATCTCTCTTGCAGCTCCTCCCCCAGAATACTATCCCATCATGTTCTTGGGTAGCCTCCCCAACAAGGTAACAGATGCTTGTTGAAAGCTTTTATTTCGTATTGGCCCTCCCACCTTGTTGCCATGCAGCCTGTACCATGGGCTCACGCTCTCCCTTAGGTGGTACTCAGTGAGAATGTGTTGATTGATGGGCAATGCAGAATCACAGAATCTACATTGTCTAGTCCCTGACCCCAGGCCTACATCTGAACCAGTTCTTGGTGGACACATAGACACTCCAGACACACAGATTGTGCTGTCATCAAGGCACTGTAATCCAAGAACACTGCAAGATTTGTTGTTGGGTTATTCGGTCATGTCCAGTTTTCTTGGCAAAGAATACTAGAATGGCTTGCCATTTCCTTCTCCATTGTGTCTCCATTTTACAGATGAGGAGCTGAGGCAGATTGGGATAGTAAGATTAAATGACTTCCCCAGGGTTACACATCTAGTAAGTGTCTGAGTCTGGATTTGAACTCAGATCTTACTGGCTCCAAGCCTGGTGCTCTATCCACCGCACCACCTTGCTACCCCTCTGCGAGACTTATCTACCTATAATATCCTTCCCAACAGTCTGCTACTGTCCCTGAAATTTTTAGCGAGACGCACAAATTTAGAGAATCCACCCCAAATGTTCACATGGACTCTTTGTGCCCGACCTGTGGTAGAGCCTTCTGAGCTCCTACTGGTCAGATCAGCCCCAGTAGGACACACAGTACCTCGACCCCAGCATAGTGATGTCATTTGGTCCTCTTACGGAACGAAGGACAACAACCAACCAACCTTCTCTGGACCGAGGTATTTTCTCCCAAAGACCCCTGTGAAAATGCAGATTTATTTCCTGGAAATTTTGACCCATCAGTACTCACCAACCCATTAGCACAGATGGTTTCATTAAGATTCCCAGTAGACAACAAAACCCTGAGGGAAAAGGGAGAGGAGTGTGGAGTAGATGTGTTAGGATGGGAAGGAAAGGTGAGAAAGTGACAGAGCAGAGAACATCAATTAGTAAGCACTTATTAAGCACCTACTTTGTGCAAGGCACTCAGGGATACAAAGATAACGATGAAACAGTACCTGCCCTCAGGAAGCTTACATTCTATCAGGGAAGATAGCATGTAATAATAATAACTAGCATTTATATAGCATATATAAGTATATAGGGCAGCTGGGTGGCATAGTAGATGAAGCGCTGGGCCTAGGGTTAGGAAGAACTGAGTTCATATCTAGCCTCAGATACTTACTTGCTGGGGGGCCCTGGCCAAATCACTTCATCCTGTTTGCCTCAGTTTCCTCATCTGTAAAATGAGCTGGAGAAGGAAATGGCAAACCACTCCAGTATTTCTGCCAAGAAAACCTAAATAAGGTCACGAAGAGTCAGATAAGACTGAAACAACTCAACAACAACAATGTATAAGTATATGCAAAATAATGGTGAGATAATTTGGGGAACTATCAGGAAAGGATCAGGAAGGGCCTGACGTAGAAGGCAGAGCTTGAGCTGTGGATGAAATAAAGCATTCCAGAGGGGCAAGGGCGGGAAGGGGAGGAAGACTCTGGATGTGCTGGGAAGATGCCCTGGAGAGTGCATTGTGGGGGCAGGAGGAGGGCCTCAGTCAAGCACACTGGACAGCCCGTAGTCAAGAGAAGGGACCGGGGTCACCTTGAGAGGAAGGGAAGAAGGCATTTTTCAAGGTGGGGCTGCAGGCAGGCCACCTCCCCACGTTGGTTCCATCCGCTCTGGCCCCACATCCTGGGCAGATGCCTCTTTGGAGCCTTCCCCTACTAGGTTCTCCTGGTCCTCCTGTTCAGGGCTTCGTCACCACCCTCTGTCTCAGAGAAGAGGCAGAGGAGGTGCAGCAGCATTTGGCAGAGGTGGGGGAACTGCTGGTGGGTCTGTAGCTGTGGTCCTGGCATCCGGCCCCTCGGCCAGGCCTGGTGAGGAGGAGCACTGGGGGTGGGAGGGCAGAAGTGGGGCAAGGCAGCGTTCAGGGTTGTGTGCAGACAAGGTCAGAGCCAGGCAAACGATTACAGCCGCCCTATTTCTTGAAAGTTATTTCCATTTAAGGATTCTAAATTCAATCTGTTTTTGTCTCTGGCTCCTCTAAATGGTTTGCTTTGTTGTTTCCCTCCCCCCTTCCTCTGCCCTCCATCCTCACCCCTCCTTTCTACTTCTAGAAAGAAGACAAGCAGCCGCATGACATCCGATGTTCTGAGAAGACAGGGAAATCAAAGAAAAAGATTCCACAACGCAGGTACTGTGGGCTCTCTCACTCTCCCCATCACTCAGCTGGAGGCTGGTTTCTACTTAATGAGGTACTTTCCCTCCATAGATGGAGAGCCTGCTAACAGGTGTTTCTATTTGGGGAAATAGAACATTTCCTTCCAGACAATGACTGGCCTTCCGACAGCCCTCATTATCACACCTGCTCCATCCGTGCACCTGGTGGGCCCTGGAAATGTGCACCAGTCAGGCTGGTTAGCCCATCATGGCAATCTTTGAAGGGCTAAGTATAAGGCTGATGGGCTTGGTTTGCTTGCAGGGGGGACACATTACCGATCAAATGCTACTAGCCGTCTCTCCTTGGTGTTTTTAAGAAGTTTGGCCTGCTGGGTACCAAAGGCATGAATGAGTTTGGTTCAGTGGAGATCTCTGGGGGGAGATTCTGTAGCCCAGAATGTAAGCTCCCTAAGGCCTCCAGAGGCTGTGTTTTCCTCATCCTTTTCCCTCAGGCTGTCGGATGGAGCTGAATCTGGGGAGACGCCCAACAATGGGACCCCTTCACCTCTCTGCTTTCTTCCTGTCCCTACAAATAGGGATGTTGCTGTTAAGCACCCTCATGGGAAGTCTATAAAACATTGTGTAAAAATAGATTGGACAAAGGAAGTGATTTGTTTGGCTCTGAGCTCCAAGGCTGCTTTGGGTTGTAAGTTGTTTGTTTTAACCCTAGGCCATCTCACATGATAGGCAGCTAGGTGGTACAGTGGATAGAACTCTGGGCTTGGAAAGAGAAAGACTCATCTTCTTGAGCTCAAATCCAGCCATAGACACTTACTAGCTGTGTGACCCTGGGCAAGTCCCTTAACCCTGTTCTCTGTTTCCTCATTTGTGAAATGCCCTGAAGAAGGAAATGGCAAACCACTCCAGTATCTCTGCAAAGAAAACCCCAAAAGGGGCCATGAAGAGTTGGACACAACTGAAAAAAAAAAAAAGACCAAACAACAGCATCTCACATCCTATGCCAGAATTCCTAAAGCTTTAAGAGAAACCTGAAAGTTTCCTAGCCCAGCTTGGGAACGTTCCCACGAGGCTACAAACTGTTGCCAACTAGCTTTCAGAAAAGCCTATCTTTCTGTGGAAGCCATTGGCCAACAGGCACCTGGGCCCCAGGTACAAAAGGAGTCTTCTTAGGCAGGGGGTTGTGTGCCCTGGACCTCAGATAAGCTGGTGAATCACACTTTAAGTGCATAAAATAACATACGTAGCATTACAAAGAAATTACAATTATATTGAAATACAGTTGTCAAAATACATTTAAAAACAAGTTCGTGAATCCCAGATTAAGAATCCCTGCCTTAGAACACGCACATCAACTCATTCAGTCATTTCTAGGTGGCTGATGCTGCTGTTATTTGGAGACTCAGAGCACGTGACTAGTGTGTCCCAATTACCCGGATCCCCCAAATTGTGTGGGGCGGGCCACACAGATTGTCATCCACCCATGAAGTGGGAAAGAGGCCCCGAGTCCTTGCTAGCTTTCCCTTTTCCTCATTATAACACTGAGATCTTACTCAGAAATCCCCCTAAGACTCTAGGACAGGGTGGGAAACTTGAGGCCTCGAAGCCACATGTGGCCTTCTAGGTCCAAATCAAAGGGCCACACTTGAGGACCTAGAGGGCCACATGTGGCCTCGAGGCCACAGGTTCCCCACCCCTGCGTTAGCAAGTATGACCCTTTAAGAGACACCCTCATGAAAGCAGAGATCTGGTTGCTCCAAATAAGACTTTTAAAAAAAGAAAAGAACAAGTTAATGGAGATTATCTTCCTGTATGATTCCAAGTGAGACCCTTCCCCACCCTTGGCCTCAATCTCCATCATCTCTATCAATAAAAACCTAAAAATTCTTTCACTCCATGCCTCACAGGGCTGTTGGAGTGGGGGTTGGGGTGGGAAGTGCTTTATAAACCTTAAAAATCTATCAAAATGGGAATTATTACCCCAAGAGAGCATATGATCAGTCTTTCTTAGAAATTAGAGACCCAAAAAAGTATCCTTTTTTTCCCACAGAAGTAAACAAGGGTATTTTTGTTGCTTATATCTCTAACATTATATTACCTGAAAAAAAAAAGTTTCAAGGTTTGTTGTTTGAAGTCTTTGTATTTTTGCTTAAAAAAAAAAAAAAGTATTTGGCCTGCTATCAATATTCTCATTTCTTCAGAAGACCTAAGGTGGAGAATCCAGTTCCACTTGCCTTAAGAAAACAGGAAGTGTAAATGCCACCCTCCCACACACACAACTAAATCCCCCACCCCAACCCTGACCCCGGAACTTGACTATAGAGCTCGAGGGTTCTTTTGGCATCCCTGACAATGGGGTCAACGGAGCATCTTGTTTCCCAAGCGCTGGGTAATCTTGAAATCGCCCTCTTTGCCAACTTGAAACCTTTCCTGGGGTTTCCCACAAGGGTGTGGAATAAAGGAAGCAGGCAATCTGAAAGGCCACCTTCCTAGCAGCAAATACCAGACGAAACAAGCCCCAGAGAGGGCAGCCCATGGCTAGCCTGTTCATTCCTGAGCTTTTCACAAGGAGAAGAATGACTGACAAATAAGGCTGCCGGGACACAGAGAGAACACAGTTGGACGTTTGTACTGAAATAAGGCCTGGTGCACGATACAAAGGGGTCAGAGGGACTCGCCGCTGAATCTTTCTCTCTTCTGATCAGCAGACGCTTGTCCGCTTGAGGAAAGAGGCGCAGCCTGGAGCAGGTGTCTGACTGTGCCATCTGCAAGGTGGGACATCTAGAAGCAATGGGCAGGGGTGGCAATAGCATTTGGGTTGCTTGAGCCTCTGCTGTCACCAAGGGTCCAGGTGTCTGTTCATTTGCTCTGAGTTCAGCCCTGGAGAGGTCTGTTAATGGGGCAGAATTTCTTTCCTGTCATGTTATCAGAGCAACACAAAGAGAACCCTAAGCCTCTTTGTTGGCTAACCCAAGACCCAGATCGTGAACAATCTGGCTGGCCACATGTAATCAGCTCCACTGAGATTAATGAGGAATGAAAACAGAAATCGTGAGAAATGCAAGCCTGCCCAGAGTCTTTCCTGGGGTTGATTAAAGGCAGAAGGAATATTCAGACACACTGGAACCTAGCCAACCGGCTAACATCATCTCCAAGCTAGGAAGTGTTTTCGTGGGGTAGATCAGAAGCCCAGCACAGTTTTCAGAAAGGAATTTTCTCTGTGGATCAGATCAGATTCCCCAGGCCAAGAGGAACATGATACAAAGTGCAGAAAACCTTCCAGGGTGGAGGCTAAGGACTCTTATCAGAAAGCGTTGGCAAAACCATGTCCGACGTAAGGTCATCCAAACGTGCTCACCAAATTTACTGCTCCTTCTTGATCGTAGTGCCATATATATGGCGCGGAAGGGACTGCAGAGGCCATTGATCCAACAACAGTCCTTATCAAGCACCTACTGTGTGTCGGGCACTGTGCGGGTCCAACCCCCTCAATTATTAGAGGTCTAGGGAAGTTAAGTGAATATCCCAAGGTTACAGAGTCCACACAGAGGCAGGTCTTCAATCCAGGTCCTGGCTTGTCTGACTTCAGAGATAATGTGACACAGATGGTATTAGTGAAGTGAGTTACTCTTAAGTTCTGTACTATTGGGTGACTTCAAGTGGGTTCATTCATTCATGTGATGAACACTTACTGAACACCTGGGGTGTATAGGGTATTCAGGAGGACCAGCACCTCTGGCATGAGGGCTTGCTGAGCTCTTGTCAGGGATGCTCATCCACCTTTTGTGTCCACCTGTCCCCCAGCTCTCTCTCACCTATGGCTCCAAAAAGCTGTAGCATGCTCAACAACCACACCCTGTCTCAGGGTATCTCAGCAGACAGACTAACCCAGACTGAGAGTAACTGATGGGCTTCAAACCTGCCAGTGAATTAGGGGATTGTCTACCCCAAGCATGGGAAGACTTCCTCCAGAGAAATGGGCGGGTGAAAATAATATGTTCCAACAGCCATGAAGGCAGCTGAAGCAGACTGTGTGGAGAGCTTAGAGCCTGGTCACTATCAAAGACGCCAAGGCCATTTACTACGTCCTGGGCCATCACCAGTCATCTTGACTTTTGTCTTGCCACTGGACTTCAATGACTCTGGAAGAGAGAATGAGGCTGATAGCTTTGTGCAGCTCTGCCTCACTTCAATCCAGTTGATGCTTCAGTCAAGACATCGCCCCATGATATCATTGGTCCTCTTTGAAAATGAAGGTTGAGCAATAACTGAACATCTATTATATTAAAGGTGCTGGGCATGGGGGTGGGGGTAGGTGAGAGAACATATCACACACATACCTCCAGTTTAAAGAGAACCACATAATCCCAGATTTAGGAGACCACTATGTCATCCATTAGTCCACCATGGTCCATCATTTCTCTCCCACCCACCCTGCCATTCAAGTGACCCAGGGTTTCCAGCTCAAAGTTCAGTGGCTGTTATTGCGCTGGCTTTATTTTAGGAAGACTGGGGGCATAAGATTATAAAAATGTAGATTTAGAGCTTAAAGGGACCTTCGAAGTCATCACATCCAACTCCAACTTTTTACACTTGAAGAATTGTTTTGTGTTGTTCAGTCATGTCCCTTCTTGACCCCATTTGGGGTTTTCTCAACAAAGATACTGGAGAGGTTTGCCATTTCCTTCTTCAGCTCATTTCACAGATGAGGAAACTGAGGCAAACAAGGTTCAGGAACTTGCCCAGGGTCACACAGCTAGGATGTGTATGAGATTTGAACCCAGGTCTTGCTTACTCCAGATCTAGCGCTCTGTGCACTGTGACACCACCTAGCTGCCCTACAGACGAGGAAACAGAGACCTATGAAAGGTTATGTGGTTTGCCCAGAGTCACACAATCAGTAATTGTTTGAAGTAGGCTTAAATTCAGGTCTCCCAGACTCCAGGTCCAGTGCTCTGTCTAGTAAAATATCCCGCCCCCAGCACTTACTACCTGGGTGACCTTGGGCGCATCACT